CGAATGAATGAATATTGGATGTGGGTGGAGGAAAGATTTTGTATACTTGATAACCCAGTGAGAAACTCAGGACATATTTTTCCTATATAATCACTGTCAGAGGGTAGTCTGATTCAAAATGTTATTTAAGAATTTTTTTTATGAGAAAGTGCATTGCAACTTCCAAAGCTGTTTTAGAGGTGATTAAACCATAGAAGAGTTAGGTTCTACTAGATACATTATTCTATTAGGCAATATTGTAAAAGCCATGTTCTAAAGCTAAAGTAACAAAAGTGATCACTAATTTTGATAACATTTTCCATACATATAAGAAAATGAAAGAACTAGAAATCTAATCTTGTACTAGAAATAACTTTCTGAGCAGATTATTTAAAAAACATGCAATAAAAACGACTCAGGTTTCATTTAAATTAAATGGGATTTAATTTAAATAATGCAGCCAAGTTTACAGTAACAAGCCTCATCCCCCGCTTCTCTGACTTGTTTGCTAGAGTTGAGTAGTTTCCTGGGAGGTAAGGTCTGGTACTCTAAAGTAAAAGGACAGTAGGCCTTGTAAAAAAAAAATAAAGTAGCTTCGAAGAGAGTGAGAGAGGTGGAAATAGAAACCTTGCTTCTTTAATGCAAGTTTTCAAAAAAGGAGAGAGAAGTGACAGAGGCAGAGGAAACCGGAATTTAGGTGTCAGAGGGCATGCCTCTTGGTAACCATAGCTGCCTCTTGGTAACCATAGCTGGAAAACAAATAGCAGTCCAAACTTGCCCGTAAGCTATTTTCTCTTCTCTGTCCCCTGGTGCCCAGTGCTATCTCTTTTTTTATTTAATACACTATATTAAGGTTTGCCTGTCACTGTTTCTTCTCTCATCTTCTCTCTCTACCTCTTCATCTCTCATCTTTTCTCTCTACCTTTCCATTTTCTGGTTCTCTCATCTAATTCCTCGATATCTCACTGAATTCCTTGGTATCTTCAGTTTATTTATGTTTTGTAAATAAACTATAATTGTAGTATAAAAATGGAAGATTTTATTTTAAAAAAAAGCCATCTAATGTAAGTCTGTAGGGATTTTTAGGTTGAAAAAGAACAAAAAAATCAGAATTTTTTTCACATTTAATAGCCTAATATAGCTCTAAATTTCTTTGAAGTATATAAGACTGAGCTTCCTGAAAACACTATTTTTCATTAATAGTTCACAACAGTGTTTTAGCTGTTGCAAAGTAGTTTTTTAGATAGTCATTTAGCCTTGGTAAGAGTGTGTGATCATTTGTTCTTTCTCTTATAGATTCAACTTTTACAAGTCCACCTGTCAGAGAAGAAATGTTGGAAAGATATTCTAACTTTTCCTTGGAGAGTCATAACATATCACTGACTGGTAAGTTTATCATGTTTCAAATAATGCAATCCCAAAATAAGGGTTTTAACAATTTTTCTTAAACAAAGCTACTACATTTTGCTTTGTGAAGTGGTAATCACTGTTTACCGCCTGGTGGGAGAAACATAACAGTAGTGTGCTGGGAATCAGTGTGGTGAGGACCTTGTGCACAATGGAGGCCAATGTTCCAGACATGCTGCGGCCAAGAATGGCTTCCCAGAAAACGGATACCTGAGAAAAGGGAGAATCAATTTTGATTTGCAGATACTCTTACGTTTTCATTAATTCCTGCTGGCACATCCATTACATCACTCTAGGTCAAGAAGATAATTTGTGTATCTATTGGAAAACCTTTAGCCAGAGACATTAAAAATGATATCAAATGAGTCAATGTGCTAAGGAAAAGCAAGAAAGGGACTCCAAAATTAAACACAGCCCTGCTTTCTCTGCCTTTTCTTTCACAGTTTTGGTTCCAGTGTTTCCAAAGTAATCTTAGTTTTTTAAAGTCCTAAGAATCATTAATCTGTTTTAGTAACAATATTAAAATTGTATATTTAGAATTTAAAATATCACAGTCCTATCTGTTAAATTAATCATTAATCATTAGATTTTTAAATTAATCATTAGATTTTAAATTAATCATTATATTTTTCCAAATACACCTTCAGTTTTTAACTGTCCTCTAGTCTTGTGAACTGTTTATTTCTGTTTAATATGAATAGAAGGTGTGTGTGTGTGTGTGTGCATGAGTGTGCATGCACCTGTGTGTTTCTCAATCTGATAACAATGGAATGTTTGCATTAAGCTTTTTGGCAGAGCATTTTTGTGTCTTTTTGCAGCTTTTTTTTCCCCAGATGTCCCTATTCCAATGCATGGAGTTCATTCTTGTAAAAAAATAATTAAAACATTCCTCCATTCTTTTACTTTTTGCATGTTCTAGTTGTTGGTTGCCTCTGTTAGGATGAAATGTTTCTTTAAGAGACTCATGTGAGAAAGCAATTTGCACATTCTTTAACCAGCCTGGCAATGTTGTCATCAGGGCACCCCTTACTTAACCAGTACAGCTGGGGCCTGGAAACAAAGGGTCAACGCTCAGGGCAGGAGCAAGAAATAGACTTGTAATTGATTCTAGGCTGGTTATTTACTTAACCTGTTTGGAGGGTTTAACTCCTATTCTTTTATTCTAAATAGTGCTACTTAAAGCAGTATTCCCACTGTTAGAAAGAGACTAATGGTTTGCAATTGGACCCATTACTTATCTCTGCCTTGGCTTGATCAAACTTTAGTCTGGCTTTTTTCTTCCTTACAGATCCCGGAAACGTGGCTTGCCCTAAGGCTGAGCAAACATTAAAATGAAGAACATCTTGATAATTGGCTGACTGCAGCCTGATCATGCTGTCTGTGTACACTTTCTCATTTGCCCAATTTCCCTAAAAAGTTCCTGCTTGTCTGCTTATCCTTCTCTATATTGAAAAGTAGCCTTTTTCTGTTTACTTTTGGGATGCTTGCAGATCTTAAGTTTGGAGCTTTGTCCCTATTGCAGTAGTCTTTTTAAAAATAATGTCTTCTGGATGGGCACGGTGGCTCACGCCTGTAATCTCAGCACTTTGGGAGGCCGAGGAGGGTGGATCACTTGATGTCAGGAGTTAAAGACCAGCCTGGCCAACATGGCAAAACCTGTCTCTACTAAAAATACAAAAATTAGCTGGCATGGTGGTAGATGCCTGTAGTCCCAGCTACTCAGGAGGCTGAGGCAGGAGAATCACTTGAACCCAGGAGATGGAGGTTGCAGTGAGCCAAGGTTGAGCCATTGTGCTCCAGCCTAGGGAACAGAGCAAGACTCTGTCAAATAATAATAATAATAAAAATGTCTTCATTTAAGTTTGGATTTGTTTTTGGCAAAAGGAAATATTTGACATTAAGTTGGAAACATTAGATCTCAGAGTTGGGCACTGAATGGTTAAATTTCCATGTAGGTTATTACTCTAGTTGCCTTCCCATCAAAAAGTTTGGTCTTAGAAACTCCTTTACTGAACTATAGAATTTAAATTTGAAGATATATTAATAATTTTGAGTTTCAAGGTAAAATAAAAATATAGAGATGAATCTCTAAACAAAATGTTTTATTTGGTAGAACAGAATTGCAGTTCAGTGCATACACAGAGAAGGGAATGGTCTTTGGTATGACTGAAAAAAACAAAAAGAAGCTTAGGGGTTTTATTAGAGAGAAATGTTATATATTGTTTTGGAAGAAAACTCTTTCTCACTAGCAAAGTTTTTAGAAGCTGACAAGCTCTGAAGTGCTTGTGGTGGGTAAATTAGTCTTAGAGTCATGGCAGTTTGTTTCAGAACCTGTGAAGTATGATCTTCAAGTCATACCAGGTCATTTCAGCAGCTGGTTTGCATTATTAGCCCTGGGCAGGTGCTTTGCGTTCCAAGTGCTTTTTTGTTTTTGTTTTTGCTTTTCCTTTTTTATTGGGTCTCTGAACTCTTAATTTAGTTAGATATGACAAGATAATTCCAATTCCTGTTTATCCATTTTCACCTTATGAATCATAGATTTTCTTCTTATGGCTGATATTAAGATTTTTAACCTACTATGTGTAAATGGAGTGTTTTCATATTTTCGTAACATTGTTTGATATGTATCAACATTGATTTTATCATTATTTATGTTTGTCTTTAAACAATATTTACGACATTTCTATTTGTTACTTACTGTTTTCTCTTTCTCTCGGGCCATTGTAGAAGTTAATCTCTCTATTAGGATAAAATGTTTCTTGTAGAGAGATTCAAATACAGTATGTTAATTGTAAATTTTGGAATTTGGTCAGGCTCCTGACACACGTACTTACCCAAAGGTTCTTGACACTGGAAAACGTATGGATTCTTGTGCCTAGGAGAATGAAGACATGACTTTTTATTCATAAAAGCTTTGTTGTTTACTTATTTAATATTTTTGAAATATTGCTATTTATTTAACAAACTTATGATGTTGACTGTGTATCATATATGAATTTCTAAATAACTTAATTAATTCTTATAACAGCTCTATGAGGTGGGTACTGTTACTATTTGTAATTTGCAGGTGAGGAAAGAGAGGCAAAAGGGATGAAGTGAACTGATGAGGATCGCAGGCCTTGAGTAGGAGCTTACGGTTTTAAATGTAGGCAGCTTGGTGCCTGGTCTGTGCTACTAACCGTTATGTTTTTCAGCCTTTCTTAATGCCCAGTTACTTATTTCTTTTAACAAAATTATTAAATTAATTGTATTTATTTTAAAAATAATGACATCAGTTTTGAAATGATGTAGTAAAAACCTACAGAAATAAGCTATTTTAATTGCTTTATTACTAAATAGGTTAGTTTTAGAAATTCATTTACTACTTGCAATCCCAGCACTTTGGGAGGCCAAGGCGGGTGGATCACCTGAGAGGAGTTTGAGACCAGCCTGACCAACATAGCGAAACCCCATCTCTACAAAAAACACAAAAATCAGACAGGCATGGTGGCAGGCACCTGCATTTCCATCTATCTGGGAGGCTGTGGCAGGAGAATTGCTTGAGCCTGGGAGGTAGAAGTTGCATTGAACCGAGATTACACCATTGTACTCCAGCCTGGGTGACAGAGCAGGAATCCATCTCCCAAAAAAAAAAAAAAAAAAAAGAAAGAAATTGCATTTTGCTTAATCATAAATTTGTGAAAGTAATTGACTTGACTGAAACTAAAAGTATTTTTTCTGCTTTCTGGTGTTTTAAAACCAACCTTTTGATAATGGACTATTTTTATATCACTGTACTTAATTTTCCAGTGTCCATAGAATTTGGAATTCATTGTATTACCACAATATATTTCTATTTTTGGTTTTTTCCTCTCTGTGTATTAGGGTTTAGTTTCTCAATCAGTGTTATAGTTTAACTTAAGAGATCGAAATAAAAAGAAATAGCCGACAGTTTCCTTGACCAGCCTGTTCACGTTGGAATCACCTCTCCTGTGTTGACCCATGGCACATTTTATTTACATGTTGAGATGTGAGCAGCTGTCCTGCAAGGTTCTTGTGAGCCAAGGAGGTAATATATGCAGACATTAGAGGTAAGGCACAAGGTAAGATTTGGGAAGATTAGTCAACATAAGGAAAGACAACCACATTGCCTGAAGCTAGGCCTGCAAGAGATCTAGGTTAGCACCACTTAGATTTTAGGGGCAGGTGACTGAGAAGATTGAGAAGAAAAGAAGAAAATACTTTATTGCAGAGGAGATTATAGCATGACTCCAGTGAGCTGAAAATGTTATGATATTTTTCAGAGGCACTCATCAAATCTGATATGTAGGCTGTTGATGTACAGAGAAAAAATATTGAGACCTACCTAGCATTCATAGAGAGTCAGAGAAAGAAAAGATGGAAGAGGGATCTACTCATAGCAACACAAGTGGCAATGGCTGTGATAGGCTTTTGTTCTATATCAGGTTTCTTTTATTATTATTATTATTATTAGCAGGGATATTGATGGTTGGGGCTGGATGATGCTTGGTTGTAGAAGGTTGTTTGCAGCATTGTAGGTTATGTAACAGCATTCCTAGCCTTTACTAACTAGATCTGAGTAGCACCTGCTAAGTTGGGACAGCTGGATATGTCTCTAGATATTGCCAAACATTCCCTGGGGGAACAAAATTGTCCCCACTTGAAAATTACCCCTGCTGTTCTATATATTAAAAACGAGAGCCCTGCACATGTTTCCCATCCCCTTATCATGAGAAGACACGTGACTTAATAATCTTGTGATTAATATTTAATAAAGAATCTCACCATGAAGTTACATGATGGTGCTGAATCACAGGCACAGGACCTCACACCCTGTAAGTGGGACCTGTCTCTTCCCTCCCTTCTACTGGTATTCAATAAGAATGGAGCCAAAAGCCACATCTTCAATAAAGCACATAACAGAGAAGCATGTATGTTCCTACTTCTCTGATATGTATTTACTGTTTTCTGTTAATTTTTAATTCTGTAATTAATAATGAGTTCAGTATTAAAAATATTAAAACATTATTTTCAGCATTAGAGTAAATTAGAGAATCTGAAAACCCTCCTGCCATACCTACAAATATCTAAAATATAGTAAACATTCTTTTAACTACATAGCTATGTACACAAAAGTAAAGAGTTTCTATTGACCAAAACTGGTGCTCAGGGCCTGAAACCCATGAAGTGATATTGTGTTAGATTTCCCGTGTTTGTTGCCAAGATCCTTGAGTTTTAAGAGCCACAATAATATAAAAAACAAAGCCTTGAATTCATGCAAGCAGGAGAGTTGGAACTGAAAACCTCCAGAAAACTGATCCTTCCTAGGCTATAAATGTAATGAAAGGTTTGATTTAGGGAAGAAAGTCAGCAGACAGCACCAGATGACAAGTTGGCTTCTTTCTTTTAAAATTTTATTAGGCATTAAAACCAAAAGATTCCCAGCATTACCTTCCAATTAAAAATAATGTTAATAAAAATAATTTTAAAACAAAAAACCTCCAAACCCCCAAAGATTTACCTTATTATTGAAAGACATGGGCCTATACTTAACAGTTTAAATTGTAAGTTTACATTAACTCTATTATACTGTACAGGAGCCTCTGAGCTGAGAAATTACACAAAAATGACCCTGGCAGGTAGTACTTCCACAGGAAAGCAATTAAAAGCCCTCTGTAGAAGAACGCATTGTCCATCTTGGCGACATAATCCCAACTGTTACATGTCTCAACGTGTCACAAGACAAAAATATAAAAAACAAACATGCAGTCCCTAACAGAGCTAAGGAGCAGTAAATTAGACATTCCAGAGCTTCAAATTATAGAAATACCAGGAAAGCCATAAAAGAAGAAATATTAAAAACATGAGAAATGAATATTATATTATTTTTAAAAAAAGACAAAGTAGGTTTTGTAAAGTTTATTCTCTGTAGGTTTAAAAATGAGGAAACTGAAGCCAGCACAAGAAAATTAGATGCCAATTTATTCAGCTCCCGGGCGAGGTTCTGTGGTCCCGGGGAGAGGGGCCAGGAAAGTTGTGCCTGACTCCTCTCAGGAGTGGGGTTTTATAGAGGGGGAAGGTGTTCGATTAGATTTGGAGAAACAGGATGTGGACGGGGTGAGGTGCTATTGGTAGGTAGGTGGGATTTCCGGTGAGTGGGCTAAGTGCTGAGTGCAGAGGGGATTTCCAAGGGTGGGGTTAGGTGCCGAGTGCAGAGGGGATTTCCAAGGCTGGCTAGGTGCTGAGTGCAGAGGGGATTTCCAAGGGTGGGGTTAGGTGCTGAGTGCAGAGGGGATTTCCAAGGTGGAGCTAGATGATGGGCATATTCTGATAATGTAATTTTCCAGCGCGGAGGGAGATGGACGTATTTGAACTCCCGGCCAGGCAACCAGCCTTACAGGTTTCAAAAATATCCAAATATAACTCCAGGAGATGAAATAAAAAACCTGACTGATGAGGTTCAAGTCTCATTGAGTTACCCACCATTTCTATCTCTGTTCTCTCTTTTCCAATGCTAAACTCTGTTCAGTGTGTTCATTTCCCATGCTGTGTGTATGTGTGCATCCATAAAAACTATGTAGTATTGTTTGTATTCTTTAGTGTTAGTGGTATTAGTCCATATATATTGTTCTGAAAATTAATTTTTATCATTCAACATTAGTTTTTGGAGATGTAGCCATATTGCATATGGATCTAGCTTGTTTTTTCTTTTTTCACTTGTATGCACAGTATAAATATACCAGCTTACTTATACATTTTTTTCCTTAGTGGACCATAGTTGGCTTATGTATTTTTTGTTATAAACCATGTTGCAAGGGACTCCCTACGTTTATCTCTCAGCGCATAATTGCGAATGTTTCTCTATGATAAATACCACAAAGTAGAATTTCTGAGTTAGAAATTACGCACATCTTTATTTTAATATATACCTCCATATTGCCCTTTAAAATATCACGACAGTTGGCCCCTTCCCCTGATCCACATATTAGGCTTATATTTTACTTTTTGAAGAGGTAAGCATAAATTTTGGATACTGAATTTTTACTTTTTATAGAAGTTGCAAATATTTTTTCCCACTTGCCTTTAAACTTGTATGCGGTGCTTTTTAGTTGTGAAGAAGTTTTATTATATGTTTTCTCCTATTATTTGTATACTTTTCCACCTTTTGCTTTTTAACCCATATGTGATATAGTTTTATATTTTGTATGTGATAAGGAACTAATTTTGTGGTTATTGTTTTGTACTGTTAGCCAGCATCTCAACACTCTCTAAAAGAATAGTTCTCCTTTTTCTGATAGTTTTGAAATATCACTGTAATTATATTTCGGCTCCCATACTCTGTTCTGTTTCTCTACTCTTTCATTGTTTTACAAAGTTATTAAAGTATTTCCCAAAGCAAGAAGTACATTTTACTTTGTAACCTGATGCACCATTCACGCACATGTGAAACAAAACATTCCTCAAATGACACCCACACCTAATATGCTTATTATATTCTGATAATTTCTTTTATTCCAATCCATTAATAAACAAATCTGGTGATAACTATTAAGTTGATTTCCTGATCCACTAATAGATTTTGGCTTGCAGTCTGAAAAGTTTGACCTGTTAATTCATTAATTTTAATTCATTAATTTCTTGGCATTTTGTGATATTAAGATGTTAGTATTATTTTTAAAACATTGTATCTTTTTATCTCTGTTCTTTTTTAAGAAACAGATTTTCTTTCTTGGAGTTTAATTCTTTCACATACACTTTAAAATTGGGTTTCGTAAAAAGTGCTTTTGGAATTTGACTGATTCTTCACTTACTCTTTAGATTTATTTTGGAGAAAATTAATATTTTTATGCTATTACCATCTACGATTTAGATCTCATTTGATTTAGAGTGTCTATTGCACTTAATTAAACTTAATTGTAATTTATTTTTGAGTTATACATCCCCTGCTGGATTAATACTTTTAAAATCACCTCTGTATCACATATAGCATATAAAAATATTAACAAATTTATTTGAGACAATGAATGAGTCAACTGTGTGAGACAAGAACTTCTTATACATTTCTTGCATATCTCCTAAAGTACTTTCTGCCTAGAATTCCTCATATAATTGATGAGGCAGAATTTTAATATGCTTGAACCTTCAGTCTAAGGCAAGGTGCCTTATCTGTCTACAGATGTGATTCTGCATTGTAAACCCTCTATTCCAGGAGCCAGTTGCATTATTACAACCACTTCAACAAAAATTTATTGAAAGCCCGGTTTACAATGATGAACATGGCAGACTTCCCTTTCTGCCACCCCCCCCCGTGTCATACAGTTTATGTTTTAATGGGGAGAGACAATGAATAAATAAGAAAACAAATTAATATAAAAAATTAATACAAAAGGTAATACCAGACGGTGCCAAATGCCAGGAAGTATATAAAGGAAGTGTGATAGAGTCTGTTGCTAACAGTGTGTCCGGTTAGAGGAGCCTTTTTTGCAGAGGAGGTGTGTGACCTGAAACAGTCAGTCTCTTGGGGTATGTACCAAAATGCATGTACTGACTCCCTGAGTGTCTGCATGGTTAGCACCTTAGAAGTTGGTACCATGAGACATAAATCTCAAGGACTGGCATCGTGGATATAAGACTAAATCTCAAGGACTGGCATCAAGGTGTAGGCACCTGCAGTTTGGAGAAGATCATTACCAAGGTAGCAGGCCATGCTCTCAGTTTACATTAGGTATTTATGAGCCCTCATCTTGATCTGATGTGTCCTGAGGCTGGTGTTTACCTCTTCTTTGACGAAATCCAGTTACCCTTATTTTATTTTTTAAGTGCAGGGGTACATGTGCAGGATATGCAGATTTGTTACATAGATAAACGTTTTCCATGGTGGTTTGCTGCACCTATTAATCCATCACCTAGGCATTGAGCCCAGCACACATTAGCCCTTTTCCCTAATGCTCTGCACCCCCCCACCCTCCCTCAGCAGGCCCCAGTGTATGTTGTTCCTCTCCCTGTGTCCATATGTTCTTATTGTTCAGCTCCCACTTTCAAGTAAGAACATGCAGTGTTTTGGTTTTCTGTTACTGTGTTAGTTTGCTGTAGATAATGGCTTCCAGCGTCATCCATGCCCCTGCAAAGGACATGATCTTGTTCCTTTTTATGGCTGTATAGTATTCCATGGTGTATGTGTACCACATTTTCTTTATCCAGTCTATCACTGATGAGCATTTGGGTTAATTCCATGTCTTTGCTATTGTGAATAGTGCTGCAATGAACATATGTGTGCATGTATCACTTTTAAATCCTTTGTTCCCTGGGATGTAACATGATGGGGAAGGAAGTTGGAAGGATGAAGAGGCCAATCTTGAATGCTTTCCACACCCTTTTCAGTCTTCACTAATTGTAACATTTTTTTTTTACCAGTTTTATATAGTATCTGTGTGTGTGTGTGTATGTTTGTGTGTGTGTGTGTGTGTGTGTGTGTGTGTGTGTATTGGTGGGTGGAGGTTCTGTTTAAGTTTTTCTCTGATTTATTTCTAAAACAGTTCTGGTACTAAAATAATTTTGAAATTAGAATTTGAAACTAGAATTTCAAAATTATCATTAGAATAACCCATCTCAAAATTTAAATGATTTTTGTACTGGGGAATCAAATGATGTGACATTTTCATGTGCTGTCCCTTTCTTCCATTATATTGAAGTGGATATGTGCAAAATGGTTCAAAATAAATGAAACTTTTTATCAGGGTAGAGAAGGCAGAAATTAGATATAAAGATCAACGGCAAATTGTTATGGCATGAGATGATGATTTTGATTTGTAAATATAGAAGAGATGTAGAAAAATACTAAATGTGTGATTTATAGCTCCAAGAACAGGAGGGCAGAACTGGCCATGGAGGGGAGCATACAGGGCCAGGGAATGGCTGTTCTGAGTCCTAGACTGCTACCTCAGCCTGGATCTTGCCCCTGACCTCGGGCATTGCCTTTCAGATGTACTGAACAGGTACTATGATTACCACTTTCCAGAATTTATTCTGAGGACCAAATATTATATGTTCTGGATATTTGTGAGCTGCCAAGTGACATAAGTGCTATGTAATTTTAATCAAATGGACGGAGTGCATAAATGAAGTATCTGGTGTAAATCTTGATAGGCGTATATGGATTAGGTTAATGATCTCAAGCCCAGAAACAGTCTATAGCCAGTTAAGCAGGAAATAATTTATTGAATAAAGGACTTTGGCTAGCAGAATTGATGAGAAGATTGGAAATCAAGTTCTGGCAATGCCAAGGACCTCAGGTGACAGATAGCAAGGATTACTGGAATAGTCTGCTTAAGATATATCTGTTGGCACTGGACTCTTGATGTGAGGGCCTGGCATAAAGGCACATAACATATTTTTAGTAAAATTGTTGAATGAATGGATAAATGAAAAACATGTGGTAAGTGTTCAGTAAATAAGTGTTAAATGAGTGAGTGAAGGAATAATGAGGTACAGTCACTGCTAGACACTTGCCATTGCTATTGTGATTAATTTTTCAGTCCTACCTAGGTCCTTAACTCCCTGCCTCTAATTTTAAAGCCTTGACAAGGAGGTAATAATTAAATTGGCCAAATTCTAGCGCTCAGCTGGGCAGAGAGAAGAAATACCTGTTCTTAAGTTTCTGCAGTGAGTGAGTGCTTTGCCTATCACCAAACCGTATACGGATGGGAAGAGTGTTCAGATTCTGATTGTCTAAAAGTGGGATCAATGACCACTGCTATAGTGTTGGATTAACTTTGTGTTAATTATTTGGAAACAGAGGCAACAAATGTATTTTGTTACTAAAACAGTGTAACCATTTGTTTCCTGTAACGGATGCAAACAATAGATGCAATGTTGTTCACTATGTTGTAGAAAAATATATTTAATTATTATATTATTACCCAATATTATTGCCTCAAATTAAATACTACATTATTGCAACAAGAGACATGCAATTCTGGAATGCAAATAGAATTATTTTCATTTTTCTTTGAAATGATGTTAAATCAGTTTAGAAAGAAGAAAAATAACCATTACGTGATTTAATTGCTGGTACTAACTGAAGTGGAGGAAAACAGTGACTAACAGAAGCTTTGTTTAGTAAAATTCCACCAGCATCTCCTGTTAAATAATTTTAACACATTTTCCAAAATATTGCTAAACCTTTGATGAATTATTTTGGAAAACCTAGCTTCATTTGTGTAGAAGCCATTCACATTTTGTGATATTTCTTTTGAGGATGCCTGTGTTAAAAAAAAGATTCTAAAAGTTTGAAAATAGGCTTGGCTCATTTTTCATAGGTCTTGAGGGAGTCTCTAGGAAGTACTTGGAGATTTTATATACATATAAAAAAGTGTATCAAAGTGTATATATACTACTCTTTACTTAAGTTGGGTTTTTATCATTTCAGGTTTCTCTGTGCACATTGGTGATTTCACATTTTAAGTTTATGGGATTCAGGAAGCACATGTGTTTTAGGCTGTATCACACTGGTATTGCACTAATCAGATAGCATGTAAATAACTTGTTGATAGGATCAGTTAATAAACGATCATGATTCTTCATTCAATATGAGACAATTTGGGAAAGAGGTGAAATTACAAGAATCAGGGAATAGTATTGTGTTTTATAAATTTCAGATATAAAATTTGAGAACTTTATTCTTATTCAGAGGGATTATAAGTGAACTCCCTATGTTTAAGACGTGCAGCATTAATGATATAAACAAGATCCATCACATCATTTTTATATAGGGATGTTGGCCTCATGTTAGTGTGGCCTGTTTCTGTAAGGATTCTGGATGTTTCATTGACATTTTAGGTTGCATCGTGAAGTCTCGTTGACTTTTATGGTGAAATTGTTACAGGGCAGGTGAATCCCAGTGTTGGGGTATAGCCTGAGAAGGTTTGCTCAGGAAAGAATTCAAGAGTGAGCTGGTGGTAGAAAAAAGCAGCTTTACTGAGGCAGGGGTATTACAGCTCTGTGACTTCTCCTTTAGAGCAGGGGTACCCTGGGAAGTGAGTCAAGAGTAGCAGTTCTGCAGTCATGATTATACCACTTTTAATTACATGCAAAATAAGGAGCAGACTATTTAGAAATTTCTAGAAAACAGGAGGTAACTTCTGAGCCATTGCCATGGAAAGGGATGTCAACTTCTGAGTATAGCCACGGCAACGGTAAATTGTCATGGTGTTGGTGGGCATGTCTTATGGAGAGAAGTTTTCGTCACCTCTTCCTTGTTTCTGTCAGTCTTCAGTCTGGTCTAGGCCACCTCCTATCTCATTATGAATAATGAAAAATCAGGCTGATGGGGCTCCATATTTTCCATCTTGGCTTCTATCAGTTGTATATGTCACAGTTCACTTAACTGTTTTTAGTAAGAGTTTTTTGTTTTTAAAGCATGTTTGGAAACACTGTCCTATGCAATAAATTTTAATCGGCTTCCTCCATATTTTCTTTTTTTAATAAAGAACAAAGCAGACTTTTATTTCTAGTGATAATGGTTTAAAAGATTGGTTCCTGAATAGACCCAAGAAGATGTAAATGTCATTTCTCTGAAGACTGCAAATTGCTGAAAGCCCATATACTTTAAAAATGTTATCTATGAAAATACGAAAATATTTAGGTATAAATTACTATATGGTTTTAAGAACAGTCTTAAAAAAATATGTTTCAGAAACAACCAATTTTTATCGTTTTAGAAATGTAGATGTCATAGATGTTTTTGCAGCACTCCAAGGTGGCAAAAATGCATTGCAGTATTAAGTTGTGCAGTGTTAAGGAAACAAACATTGCTGGCTGAGCTCACCTTAGTTATGTCAAAATGTGTTTAATTGGAAATGTGCATTTTTAAAATATTTTGATTGCACTTTTCATTTATCATCACATTCACATTGGTATATAGGTACACTATATACCAATGAAATAGAAGATTTTCTTTTATTTAAAATCTTGATTCAACAGTTTAAAGGTGATTAAGTTAATTCCATTGTCATGAGAATGTAATGTATTTTAGTGTTGGCATATTCTGTTGGTTATCACAATCTGGATTCAGGCATACCTAAATCTGAGATTCAGTGTTGCCTTTGTCTTGATGTGTGATCTTAGACAAGATAGTCAACTTCTCTTTGCTTCATCTCTAAAGTCAGAATTATAACAATGATACTTACCTCATAGAGCTATTATGAAAATTAAATGATTTAATCAACATATAACCTTTAGCATCATATATGGTTGTTTTTATAATATTCCCCAGTGAGATAATGGTGAGAAGAAGTGGGCGTTTATTAATTGCTATATTATACTACTATTGCTTTTCTTATGATAGAAC